GCGGGGGCGCGCGGTGCAGCGCGGAAGCCGGCGGGCGTCTTGTCCTGCGGCTCCACTTTGCCTCCAGTGGACTCCAAGCAGGGCCCCCGAGCAGAGGAGATGATGTCCGGGATCCAGCCTGTTGTGTTTTCCACCACCTCCTGCAAGAGAGGGGAGCAGCAAGGAAGAGGCGGAGTGCCCCTCTCTCCTGTCCTGAACCCTGACATGGTCATCTCCAGAGCGCACAGAGCGCACAGGCTGACTAGGGGGCTCCGGCCACAGCCACGCCCCGGAGGGCAACACCCGCCTGTCTGCTTCCTCAGCCCCTCCCTCCTGCCCCTGCGTCCCCACCATGGCCCAACATCATCCCAGTCCCCTCCATTCCTGACCCTAGAGGGTGGCGTCTCCTGAGACACTCACATCAATGGTCTTTATTATCACCGTCTGCTGGGCCTCCTTGCAGGCTTTCTCGGCCTTCTTAATGTTCTCTGGGGTCCACTCAACACTACTCATGGCCATCATAGCCTCCATGGAACTGCCGGGGGTGGTAGGATCAGGCAGAGGGAACAGACAGGAGGGTCGGGTCGACTTACAGCTTTGACAAATGCCTCATTTTTGTCAGCATCAGTTCCATGTCAGTGTAAACAGTAAGGGATGCCTTACAGCTCAATGAGACGATTGTAATGAGTTTAAGAGAAGGATAAATATCAGAATTTGGAGATGAGAATTTCAAAAACTGAAAAAGAGGAACTTCTAACTTTTGAAGTTCTCAATCTAGAACCGTCATGCCTAAGAAGTTTGGTGGAGTGACTTCAGGGAACCTGTGTCCTGAAATTGTATGTGAAATGGGGTGTAACTGCACAGATGAGCATTTTTCTTGGAAAAAAAAAAGTCAGAGCTCTCATGAGAGTCTGAGAGAAAACCCTAACCCGAATAATTCAGGGTCACGATGAAAGTAAACAGTCTTTGACTGAGTCAAGTCGTGCACGTGAAAAAGGCAAAGAATTTGTCCATAAATGATCTGACTCCTAGGGGTCAGTTCTTACTTACTCCTCTGAATGACCTTGCTTATGTGGAAAACTTCCCACAAAATTCCTGTCTTGTGGCGGAGCTTTGAGAGTCAGACACTGACAGGGCAGGGGTGAAGAGGGCAGGGGTGGACCAAGCAGCCCACGGAGGAATCCTGGCTCCCTGGCCTGGGAGGTAGTGGGTGGGTGTCCTCCTCCTGTCCTCCCGAGGATCGCTCCCTCCCACAGCTTCCTCCCACACTTGAGGGTCTTCTCTTCTGAGATGACTCACTCTGATACCTCCTCCCCCAGCTCATTGGCCACGTAGATGATGTCAGGATACCCCATGCAGCTGGAGATGTTATTTCGAGGGTAGTAGAAGAGGAAGATGAGACACATCTCATTGATGGTGCTGGGACCCCCCTGGAGAGGAAGAGAGAGACAGAGATGGAGGAACAAAGGTACAGAGGCATGCAGAGAGAGAGGAACAGGGTAGATGTAAAACAGTTTTCTCAGCAGGCAGCTCAGCGCTTGTTACTACTCCTTACCCACAGCTTCCTTTCTCCTCCTCTGTTGCCAATTGGTGGGCAATTATTTATATTAATTCCAAAGCAGTATCCCATATATCTGCCTTGCCCTTTACATTTTCACTGCCACTGTCCTGGTTTGGGCTAGACTATCTGCCTCCAACTCGTATCAGTCACCCATCCATCCTGATTGCACTCTGATCTCATAGAGCTGCCAGACTAGTTGTTTACAAAACATCTTGCATCCTGTCATCTTCCTATTCAGAAACCTCCCGTGGCTTCCAATAGGCCATTAAAAAATAGTCCATTAAAAATGAACAAATTCTTTGATTATACATAACAAATTTCAACCATTTGTTCATTCTATTTGTTTACCTGGCAAATATTTATAGAGTGACAGAGGCGCTGCTGTCCTGGAGATGTAAGTAGGACAGTATCACCCCTGCTTCAATGACGCTTTTCAGCCTGTCTCCCTCATTCTCATTCCATCCCTTCGTACATCTTGTCCCACTCCTTAGCTTTCAATCAAGCTCACTATGCTCATGTACACCCATGTTTTCTTATGTATGTCTTTCTCAGTCCTTTCCTTCTCTGGTATTCCCCATCTCTATGTGTCGAAAGCAAGATCTACTCACAAATATCACATGTTCAGTTCACTATATGAGGATCTTATCATTTTTTTCCTGTGAATTTCCAAAATGCACTATCTCTATTCTTCTCTTATGATATATATCACTTTCTACCTTGTATTATAATCATTTATATAGCTGTATTTTCTTCTTCAATAGCAGGGACCCTTTTTAAATCCCACAACCAGGGAACAATCCTGACACATAAAATGGGTGGAGTTTCTTGTGACCATAATAATAATAGCTAACTCTAGCCAAGCATCTACTACAAGTCAGGCAATGATCTAGCTGATCTGCATGTGTTCTTATGAAATAGTCAGTAGTATTAATCTCTTGTGAGTTAGGAAACAGAGGAACAAAGAGGTTGAATCGCTTGCCTAAGGTTGGAAAGCTACTAAATGATTGTGCTGGCATTCGAACCCAGGCAGTGAGGCTCCAGAGTCCATACTCTTAGTTGCTGTAACATGTTATCTTTCCGTGGTCTTGGTGGGTCATTGACAGAATTCAGGGAATCCCTGTACACAACTTGGATGCATGGCGGTGTGAGAGCATGAAAAGTCCCATGCAAAGGGGTAATGCCATTAGAGGAGGCAAGGGGCTTCAGCCAGAATAATCAATGTCCCTGGATAGCCA